CCCACACCTCGCTCAGCCAGTGAGCGGGAACCGGTCTGTATGTGGGATCCGAACCCTCGGCGGGAGCGCCGCCACACTCCCAAGCGGCGCACTGTAGCAGTGCGCCACCGGGCCGGCCCGGAGAGGCATTCTGACATGAAAGATGTACTGAAATCAACAACAATGTCTATCTTCCCACCATCTCCACACAACACTGGCTCACTCACCTCATCTAGGGGGATGAGTTTAGGGGGTATGGGTTCATAGGGCTCAGGATCAGGCTCATGAGGACTATCAGGAATACCGCAGGCAATGGGAAAAAAGAAGAATGATAGTCAAATTATTTATTCAGGCCCTTGAAGTTCTTTCTAACCTCCAACCCACCCCCTTCCCAATTATACCAGGTCATGTTCCCCCCTCAGGAGTCCAGGCGCTCAACCCAGGGTACAAACGCCATTCTGCTCACCTCTCCTTGTTCAGGAAGAGCTCCTGAAGGATTCCTTTCTCCCGATCAGCCTGGATGTATCGCTCCTGGCTGTTGCTTCCAGGGGTGACAAGAGGTGAGGGCAGAACAAGGGGCCGGGGGCACACCCAGGGCACTTTCTCCTCCATGTTGTCATGGCTCAGACGCCGGGCTGTCTCAAATGCATGTCGGTCTGACAGTATCTCCCGCTTCGCAGCCTCACCAAAGTCCTTGATCTTATTCACATTTACTATGGGGAAGGAAAAAAAGCAAGAGAACGTATGCACAACAAAGTTCTTAAAAATTCCACATATATGCCTATTACATAGGAAGCTTGACCTCTTACCTCGTTCAGTTTCATCCAGTTCGAAATAGAAATATTCTCTCAGTTTGCCCTCCTCGGGCCACGTCACAGTTTTCTTCTTCCTGCCTTTCCGGGTCAGCTGGCTAGGATCTCCAGGACTGTCCACTGGCTTTGCATCCAGAGCTCCTGGCTCCAAAGAGGCTGGAAGCAGGAGATGTTTCAGACCCAGATCCTTGCTTTCAGAAAACCCCCAAACCTGAACCAGTTTCTAGATTACCTGTATCCATGAGCTCTGGGACTTCAACAGGGGGAACAGGGGTGCCTGGACGGTCTATGTCCATAGCTTCAGAAGGAGGCGCTGGTTCTGGAGAAGAAGGTTTGGCTGTACTTGGTTCTGTGCTCGTCTTCCCTTCAAAGGGGCTTGGCTATTATAAAAGAAAAAGAAGTTAATGAGCTGACAGGAAAGCCAAGGTTAAGGCAAGGCAACTAGTCCAGGGTCCCAGATAAGATCCCCCAACAGTTCCTAGAAAGGAAGACTTCGCCTCTAACACTGTCCTACCCCCACCAGTTTACATCCGAGACAAAACTCCTCTTGTCCTCCCCAACAACTCCTAGCTGCTGTGCCCTTCCTTCTATTCTACCATTTATACTCTGTCACTGAAGCCAGCTTCTCAAGGCCCATACCTTGGCAGCTGTAGGTGACAACACCTTCTTCTTCTTCTTAATTTTGATTCCTGGAACAGGGGCTGAATTGAGAGCATCCAGAAAGCCCAGACCCTCCATAGCTACAAAAGGAGAAGCATAAAACGGAATCATCAGCCCTCCTTCACAATCTTATTCCTATAGATAAAGTCTAGGCACAAAACAGGCAATGGAGACCTTGCCTCAACTTAGGACACAATAAACTCAAGGTGACCAGGGAGCACATGCAGGAGGATTCACACAGGAAGTCGTTGTTGTTATTCTATCTAGCTTTTAGCAGGTATGCCATGGCTTTGAATATGAATAGAGCTCAGGTAACTGAAGAAGCAAATCCCCGTGAATAGGACAGATAACCTTGTCAGGCAGAGTACCCTTAACTGGTCACCAAATGGTACACCTCCCTCCCTCATCTCTAAAATTACTCGTAAGTAGCCCATGAAGGAAGAGTTCTAGAGAGGCAAAACTTTAAAAATCAAAGGAAAAAGGAGAAAAATAACAAAAGAAAAGCAAAAAACCCTTCCCCTTTCTCAGGACATTCATTCCCAGGAAAAGACTTTGCTCTCAGTACAAAGTACATCCCCCCACTTTAGACTCACGCTGTGGTGGGATGATCTTCACTTTGATCTCTTTGGTGGCATTGGGCGTTGTGTTGAGTGGCTTGTATTTCTTCTCTGCAGCAGGGACAGCATCTCCTGAAGCAGCTGAGGGGCTGTTAGAATAGGAACTGTCAACAACGTCTCTCACCTCTTCTTTCTCCCTTGTGTCCACAGATCCACCCATTCAGAGATCTAGAACATGGTCCATACCTCTGACGCTTGAGGGGGATGGGTTTAAGGTTGTATTTGTCAGAAACCACCACTGTGCTGGCATTCTTCTTCACAGGCACCAAAGACGGTGTCTCCAGCTCTAGTCCTGGGGAAGGAGACATGGGGTCAGCAGTTGAACTCAACCCCCCACCCCGGCTCCCACCCCCAAATGTTCTTCTAGCCTTGTGTAACTCTCTCAGAGCTTCTCCCACTAGTCTGCCCTCTTCAGGATTAATATCACAAATCAAACTATTCCACAACAATGCTCTGGGTACGCCTATGCCCAAAGACCTTCCTGAGGCCAGCCAACAGCCTTACCAGTGGAACGGAACTTGGCGTGACTGGGTGCTGTGGTTCGAAGAGATTTGGGCTTCTCCTTCTTCTTCTCTGGGGCCTCCTCAGCCCGGGTCTCAGCCTTCACCTCAGTCAAAGGTCGCTCAGGAGGGGTGGTTCGACTCTTTCCCTCTTCTTTACGTTTCTTCTTATCTTTCTCTGTTGTGGAAAAAGAAAGCAGAAAAGGATTTTATTGAGATAAAGACTGTCAGAGGTGAAGCAGACCAGGGGCACCTGAAGGCCACACCCTGGTGGGAAAGAAAGAAATATAAGGGATAAAGAAGTAAGGAGCTCACCAGCAGGCTGGGTACTGCTCTGGGAGCGGATGACAGCCATCCAGTCACTGACAAGAACTGAAGCCAATTTTCGGAGCTCTGCATGAAAGAGAAAGAGAAAATGCCTAAATAATTTTAAATATCATTCTTCCAGTAACAGAAAATGGGATGTTTAAAAAAATGCCATGAAAATCTGTGCAATGGAAAAAGTAACCCAAAGTTTTAAGAACATGAGATATGCTTAAATACCGAACTCTCAAATAATGGAACATTGAATCACAGAGCTGTCCTATACTCAGTTAACTCTCAACTCTGGCATCATCGCAACACTAGGGAGTCAAAAAACCTGATATTTATGACGGTGTACATGGTAAAAACTATATCACAGATGTTTTATATATTCTCATGTAATTGTTACAACAACTGGCAGATTTTTAATCTTCTTTTACAGACAAAAACTGATGCACAGAGATTAAAGCCACAAAATTAGAAAGTGGCAGAATGAACCCAACGCCTATGCTCTTCCCTTAACCACATGTTAAAAGAACAGGAACTAAAATTGGGAAAAAGGCAAGCAGAGAGGTGTAAACAACAGCTCAACTAGATTTAAAAAGAAATGGTATTATTCTGTGCTGTCCTAAAGACAAAATTAAAGCAAGCTTCAAGGTCGCAGATTTATGTCAATATTAAAAAAAAGGTTTTCTAGATAACTTTTTTTTCCTAGAATGCTGACAGTGATAATTGCTTAAAGAAAATCAAATAACTGTAGCAAGGGCGAAAAGAGAGCTTAAAAACAGGCTAATTTAGGGTTGGGGAAGCAGTTTATCTAGAGAAAAAATATGGTAAGAGAATTTAAAGACATAGAATTTGTTTCTAAATATACAAAAAATACCTTTGTAGCTCTTTCCTTTTGTACTTGGCAAATAATATCTCTTATCTGTAGCACCTTTTTCTTGCCAACCTTTCCACTTACAGACTCATTTAATAAATAAGATTGTCGTAGAACATTAAAACCCAACTTTTCAGGGCCAGCCTGTGCCTCACTCGGGAGTGTGGTGCTAATAACACCAAGGCCACAGGTTTGGATCCCTATATAGGGATGGCTGGTTAGGTTACTTGGGAGAGCGTGGTGCTGACAACAACAAGTCAAGGGTTAAGATCCCCTTACTGTCATCTTTAAAAAAAAAAAACAAAAAAACCTAACTTTTCAAAATAGTCACACAACTGGCAGTTTCTATACCTAAGGTAACAAGAACCTCTTAAATGCAGGAATATCCTAAAACCTTTTTGGATAAAGGAACAAAAGACGGACGATGATTTAATGAGATCCCCTGTGTTATGTCGTACGACAGATTATTACTAAAGCTACTCTGAGGGATCACCAAACTTAAGTTCTTAGTATATGAAAAGACCTAAAAACTGAGAATTAATATAACTAAAAGGATGGAATACTAGGAAAAGCTTTTTCACTTAAATACTATGAGTTACAACAAAAGTGGGATCCTTTATCTTGGAGAGGTGTTTCCAGTGTAGCTAAAGAACCTCAGACAGGCTTACCCAGGTTTACACACTCCCATGACATCAAATATGCCAAAGCCTCTTACCAAAGGACCTAGCAAACAATTCATTTTTGACAAAGAGCAATCCTGTATGTTTATCAGGGTGTCAGCTAGTGTCTTGTGCTCCTGCCTTATGCCTCAGGTCAAAGGTAAAGGAAACCCTTAACCTCTGAAGGAAAAACTGACTTTCGGGAGCCAGGCTTTGTCTTCAAGCCAAAGCTGAACAGTCCTTACCAGGAGTTCAAAAACCCTTTGTCTGGGCCGGCCCGGTGGCGCACTGCTACAGTGCACCGCTTGGGAGCGCGGCGGCGCTCCCGCCGTGGGTTCGGATCCCACATACAGACTGGCCGCTCACTGGCTGAGCGAGGTGCGGGCGCGACGCCGAGGGTTGCGATCCTGTTGCCAGTCCCGGTCCGGTACGGGCGCGACACTGAGGGTTGCGATCCGTTGCCGGTCACGAAAAAAAGAAAAAAAGGAAAAAAAAAAAAACCCTTTGTCTGACAAAAGGAAAGAATCTGTTGCTATCAGAGCTGCGCGACGCCGAGGGTTGCGATCCTGTTGCCAGTCCCGGTCCGGTACGGGCGCGACACTGAGGGTTGCGATCCGTTGCCGGTCACGAAAAAAAGAAAAAAAGGAAAAAAAAAAAACCCTTTGTCTGACAAAAGGAAAGAATCTGTTGCTATCAGAGCTATGACATACTCCACCAGTCAGGATTCTGCCCATCCCCTATAGATATATGTTTGTTGCTAGAACTACTATACATATTGTTAAGAAAACAGATATTGAAGGTCCCAGAACATGCTATATTTATTTAGAAAAACAGAAGCAAATAATGACAGGACACTCTATGACACTATTTCCCCCAGAGAATTTTAAGTGTATGCCTTTTATTCCAAGTGATCTTAAGAATCAGCTTCCCATTAAAGTATGGCACCTTATTCAACAGGAGAGAAAAGGAAAAATTCCATTTGGAATTAAGAACAGGAAAGAGGAAACAGATTACGGGAACTAAATTTTTAAAAAAGAAAAGCAAGGTGAGACAGAAAGAGGAAGGAGGGAGTGAAGGGACAATCTGAGGATCGGGGGAGAAAAGAAGGGAATTAAGTAGAACTAATGGAGAAATGCCCACAACTGAGAAGGACTGGCACCCTACCTTCATCCTCACTTGACTTGCTCAGTTGCTTCACCAATTTAGCTGTGTTGTTCTATGAGAGATGGGAGCAGCAGAAAGGTAAATGCCAGGAGGAAAATAAGCCCACTCAGAGCCAACATCACCCATAAACTCACAATCTCTTAATAGTCCCTTAACATCAACTAACAATGATACAGTGTTACTTTTTACAAAACCTTTGTAAACGTATTCTTACTTAATCCTTAGAACTAGTCAGTTAGGTAGATACAAATATTCCCATTTTATAGATGGAAAAACTGAGGCCCAGATATAGGTAGTGCCCTAAGCCCTACACCTACTAAAGGAGATAAATTCAAACCAAGTCTTCTGATTCCAAATTCCTGTCTTTCTCTACTATTCTACCTCACAGGCCCAAGACTGCAGCCACATTAGAGTTGGTGTGAGTTTTTCATGTTAGGCTAAACCAAAAAGGAAAAACCAGGGTTGTAAAGACTGAAGGTACCTGCTTGAGATGGTCCACAGTAAGTGGTAGGTGCTGCAGGGTCAGTAGAATTTGCTGGAGGAGGGGAATGTTGTTGGTTGTCTTCGAATACGTCAGCCAATTGTTAAGAAGCTTGTAGCCACCAACGTCAATAAACCTGCATGCAGGTAGGAGAAGAATCTGTTAGGCCCTTCCTGGGTTTTCTTAGTACCACATCCACATTCCTAGTCCCCCAACAATGACCCAGAAATCCCATACCTCACCTCCCCCATCTTCCCATTCCAACCACCTAGATCCCCACTTACTTGACCAATATTTCTGGTGAACGGGTCTGCAGGAGAATGTTCAAGTAAGTACATCGACTCACCATCTTTCGTGCTTCCTTCATCAGACTGCAGGAGATGAGTTAGGGTTAGAAATGGAACAGCGAGTCTCTTCTTTCAAGCACAAGAGTCTCCACTCTGGGGAGTACCTAGAGATCCCTGATGATTTGAGAGTTTGCTCCCAAGTGGGGAGTCACACAGGATTCTAGGAGAATGGGATGGATCCAGAGTGACATGGAAACTCATAGGAGAATGGAAGACCACTTAGGAGACACTGAGGTCTCTGATCTGGGGAGGGGAGCATCACTGCTTCCCTAACACACAGGATACATCTGATTCTGCCTTCTGGTTAAGAGTCCAGCCCTCAACAACCATCCCTTTGTAGTCTGTTCAAAACTGACTTAGTTATTTGCTTTCCCCTGGAAAACTTGAGGATCCCTGAAGGAAAATGACATTTTGGGCAGGTAGAACATGACCCAAAACAGAACCAAGAATTCTGTCACTAGGCTCCCCTGCCTTCATCCCAAAGTGTGACTCCCTCGGGACTGTGGATTTCCAAATCCAGCTTCCATTATAGCTAGCAACCAAGGGATCATCTTTTCCTATCACTTATCATAAAATTATTGGATGTGAATCCTACTCCAGCAATTCTCTCCCTTTCTTCTCCAGAACATTCATTCCCATACGTCTCAACTGTAACCACATTACCACACAATATCCTCTACTCACAATGAATCCAAAGAAGGGTACAGACTCACCTGAAGATCTTAGAAATCCCATCCACACTCTTCACTTCCCCATCTCGGTTAAGGAAGCTATCCAGGCCCTTGAGAAGCTCTTTGGGGTCTATGGGACCTGAACCCATGATCGTGGTTTCTAAGATGAAAGGACAAAACAAACAAACCCACAGAATAAATGGGTGGCAAGGACAGTCCCAGCATGCCCTCTAATAAATTCCATCACTATATTTGACAAAGTATAGTGACTACTTATTTAATCTATATTTAACTCCACCATTTTCTAGATAAGAAATATCAACACAGATCACTATCACTACTTAAAAAATAGCCCTGGCAAATTGACCACGGAGTTAATACATTACAGAATGGGAAGGCAATTGGCATGGAAGACTGGAACAGCACACACCTCTCCCTCCCAGTCACACTCTTCCTAGGACAGCTGAATTTCTTTAGATTGTATTAGAGCTAAGATGCAAGTTCCAATAACAAGATGCTCAACTCCCCAAGGCATTTTCGCTTATTGTTATGTCCTGTCTCCCTTAGTTGCTGAAAGGTTTGGCTTCAAAAAGCCTGTAGCTTGATAAGAACTGGGCCAATACTGGGTATTTGGGCTAAATGTCTAATTCCTCTTTTTATCATAGCCCATTAAGAGCCATAATCATCACAAGTGGCAGGGTGTGTATCAACTGAGGTGGTAGGTGATAGAGAAGAAAACAAAACTTGAAAACAGAACCTCTTCCCCAGGGAATTGGGGGGGGGGGGGCGCGGTAGATCCCAGAAATGGAGACAAATGAATGCAAAGGAAATCAAGAAGGACCTCCTAAGCCTCGAATAGAATGTCACTCATTAACCAAACAATGCACAACCTTTTTTATTGTTTCAAAGTTAAAGGGAAGCTTGGTTTGCGGTTTCAAAAGCAAAGATGCAAAGCTGACTCCTACTCCCTTGAAAAATGGCAACACCTTTCAAGATCCCCCCAAAAAGACTGAAACTAAAAACTGTGGAACCAACCAACAAGAATGGAATAAAGCAAAAGGCTAGAAAACTGCCATTAAATTTTAAGCAGCTACTTTGGATCAGGTTGAAAAGGAGTTAATTAAAAGCTAAACTTAAATTGAAGGGACAGAGAAGTGTGAAGCAATGTCTAGGCCAGAACCAAAGTTCCAGAGAGGTAATTTAGGATCAGTACCATTCTGGTTGGGACTTTTACCCACATTGCCTCTAAACTCTGGCTTCTGAGAACCAAAAAAGCAAGCCACCTCAGCAATCTCTGCATTTGGGAAATAAGGCTAACAATGGGAAGGAGGAAAATAGAAAACAACCCTCTGCATCTAGTACAGAGATAACAGAAACAATCCCAGCAGAAGGGTGGAAAAATCAGTATTTCACAAAGATCACTATATTTTGTGCAGAAAACCGGCTTCTTATAAGATAATGCAAATTAGCTCTATTTGTTCTCACACAAACCAAAAAAGAAAAACAAGCCTAATAATCCCAAACTTTTTGGCCCTCCCAACAAAAATGTCAATAAATTTCTAAATTTGTAGGTCTTAATAACCTAGGCAAGAAGCAGCAGAAACAGGGAGGCAGCGGCCCAGAAAGAAGGGGTAGTAACACAGTCTTGGTTCTGGAGATCGTAACCTGTGAGCCAAACATAAGGAGAGAAGGAGATAAGGTAAGAAATGCTGAGAGGTGAGCAAATCTGGGTTAACTGTGCTGTCACTGCTGTCCTGGAACCTGAGGTCAGAAGAAAAAACATTCAGATAAAATACTGGAAAAGATTAGAAGTCCATGGGCCAAATCCATTTAGGTGTAATTCTTACACACAAACAAATGGATAAAGGAATTTATCCCATATAGTGAGATACTATAAAGTGATATACAGAACTACAAAGAGCTATAGAGAAACAAGGGATATATAAAATGGATTTCTCATCTGTTGGAGACTGGATTCCTGAGTCCAAAGTAATAATTCATAAGCAGCCAAGAGACTAAGAAACTTAAAAAATATGTACGTGTATATATATGTGTATGTGTATATATATATATATATATATATATATAAGTGATCTACGGAACTACAAAGAGCTATAGGGAAACAAGGGATATATAAAATGGATTTCTCATCTGTTGGAGACTGGATTCTTGAGTCCAAAGTAATAATTCATAAGCAGCCAAGAGACTAAGAAACTTAAAAAATATGAACGTGTATATATATGTGTATGTGTATATATATATATATATATATATATATACACACACACACACACACACACAACCACAATAAGACCCCAAAGCAAAATATATGCAACTTGACAAAAAGCCTTCAATTAAACACTGCTTTGAACCAATCCCCCTGAGCACAGCTGACTCCATTGATTCAAACCCTGAGGTGAACATATGTAACTTTGGAGAACTCCCTTTTGCATTCTCAACTACAAGCTAAACCAATAGCCCTGCTACCCCTACTTCCTTCAGAAAATCAAAGACTATCACCTGAGCTCAAATGTTCCTTCACTTAGAGGGTGGGAGAAGAGAGAGAATAGACATTCTTAAGGGAGAACATTGGACCAATGAGTATGAAGTTATATTTTGTCCAATGCCTTCTGCTGGGAATGAGACCCAGGGACTTTTTAATTCCTGTTTGTATAAGCAAGTAAGAATAAAAGACACAGTAGTCAAGGGAAGCTAGGAGACAAAGCAGAAGAAATGTTAAAAACCTGTATTACTATTTATATTTTGGATACATATTGGAATTTTGTTTCAGAAGCACCAATCTTGATAAAGTGTAAGTGGGTTTTCCTTCAGGCAGATTAGTTTTTACTCATTTAAAATTAAGAACCCCAAGTGTCTTATAATAGATTCCTTACTTTGAAGTCAGTACATTCTGAAAGAAAAGAAGTTTCAAGGGACTCAAGCAGAAATGAAGAGGCTAACATTCCTGGAACAGACCTACAGTAGAAAAAGGCAACTGGAAAGGCAGGGGCAGTGACTTAGCATCATCAACGTTACCTACTCATGATCTGGAGCCTGGAATAAAAGCCTGAGGAAGCTTTCTGGAGCCACAAAGAATCCAGTGCATGACTGTTTTCTTTCAATAAGCTGCTAATTTCCTTGAAGGCAGAACATACAGAAGCGAGTGGGGGAAAGAAACCTCCTGGCCTACCTGCAACTTGTCCTAAGCCTCGCTTTCCTTTTGGAGGATGTTGTAGGAAAAGCCATGCACTACTGGAACAAGGCACTGGGGAGTTTTCTGTCATTCTTACAAGAGATTAAAAGCCTTAAATGACACTGACTCATGCCTCCAAAATTAATTTTACTTGAAGGTTACTCAAGCAAAGTGTGAAAAAATATCCCTCCAGTTTGGCTAGTTATTCCACACCCACAACCAATGAATCAGGACTGAACTAGTTCAGGACAAAAATTCTGTGCCACAGCCCTTTTAAAAATGCCCACATCTATCTTCTAACAAAAGGAGAAAGGAATCTCAAGTTTACCTTAACTTAGAACTTCTGGAAATAAAAATGCTTTATATCTAACCTTTTATATTCCCCTTCCTAAGTGTTTTAGGCATTTCCTAATATGACTCAATAGTGGGGTGAATTCTCTCTCAGGTGACTGAAACGGTCATTATCATTCTTCTAAGTAGTAAGTCCCTACTCCTCAAAGTAATTTTGAAAACCTGGTACACGACCTCCCCAAAAGCTTATCTGCCTTTCCATAAGGATGTGAAACCACACACGACACCACCATCCACAGGAAAGGATCCCAGAATAGAACTCTGGCCACAAACTACAAGGAACAGGTTCTCCGAGGCTCTTTGGATGGATCTGGCTTCCCTTCCTTGTTTCCCATCTCCCACGTTAAGGAAGATCTTCTTTATTAATCCCCTGCTCACTAGAGATCAGGAACCCCAGTGGGTAGAATGTTCAGCTCCCAAGGAAGGTATGCTGCAGAGGCACATGGCAAACTGCTTAAAAGATAAAAAAAAAAAACTTGTGGTCAATAGACATGTGGAAGAGGCCCTCCCATCCAATCCAGAAGTTTAACAATTTGAGAATCCATACCCAGTAGAAATATGCCCTAAGTCTCACCCAAGTCACCACAGTACAGTTGTAAAGAATGGCTTCCCAATTCTGCCTAGAACCTCCACGCTACAATACAGGACTTTTAAAAATGAAAAGTATATGGAGAATCTGATTAAGATTCGACTTTGAAAAAGTTGGTGGAAGAAAGATAAGGAACCGGACACCCAACACCACCTTCAGACAGTGCATGGCTTTCAAACATGCACCAACCGCCGCAGCACTGTACGAGTTGAAAAACGAAGAGGACGTTATTTTTTCATTAATGCTTTAAAGGAATTTCTTTCAGAAGGGAAGGAAAAAGAAATTCAAAAAAGGTGGTTTTTTGGAAAAAAGAAATGAAGATTGTGAAATGTAATACCAGAAAGGTTTTGCTTACCAGAAACCGTAGCTTGATTCCCCCTGCCTTGAGTTTACAATTGCCGCCTCCTTTCCTAAAGAATCATTTCTCATCCTAGCACCAATGTACAGGAACTAAGCAAATGGAGAACGTGATACAGCACTGCATACGAAGAGTTTATCCCCAAACCAAGAAGTGGAAATAAGGGCAATTTAGAAGCAAAGTCCTAAAAGTACCCACCCTCCCCAGGTTCTCATTACAAAATGACCAAATGCAGGAGGACCAAGGATTGGTTTCTGAGCAGAAATGGCACACTTCAGGGTCATTAGGCCCCATCTGTCTACTCAAGTTACTCTCACAAGCCCTTATGTCCTTTCCCAGTCTCCCTCAACACTCGTGTACACATACACACAAGCTCACACACACACCCTCAAAAGCTTCCCAGGCTTAAAGTACAGTTGAGGTTTGACTGGCTTTTCACCCCTGGCAGCTGAAGCGGGAAAAAATTCCAAGCAGTTGTGATGAGTGAAAGGTGAAAATAAAAGCAACGGGCTGTTAAATATAAAAATTAGAGCTACCCAAGGAGATAAACAGCCTCGATACCCAATTCCTATTAAGCTTTTGTCCCTTTAAGATAAAGGATTTAAAAGACACTAAGGAAAATCAGGAAAACGTCTTCTCTTGCCTCCTCCCTGGCAACAATGTGCACAGGCAGTCCAGAAGGCATCGGCTCAGGGGTGGAGTTTCAAGAGGGCGGAGAGAGGAAGCAAGCTGATTACATCACCTTCCAATGCGGCTCCTCCCCCTGACCAAGTTTCTAGGGCGGCCCTAAGCTCCGGATGGCCAAAGTAGGGAGAAAAACAAAGAAGGGACGCCATTTTGGAATGGAGAAGAGGACTCAAAATTTATGCCACTCAAGCTCTGCCGGCAGATATGGTTACATTGTAAAACACCCTATTCTAGTAAAAAAACAAAAGGCAGTCTCCCCCCATCCTGAATAATCTTTGACCTATTTAGAGTTAAGAGCCTAGTGAAAATAAAAGCAATTAAAATACTAAATAGAACAATTTTCTGCAGGGGAAGAATTTAATTGCAACTGAGTTGTTAAACCTGCTACCATAGACCACCCCCATCCTCCCTGTAAAGGAGAAGGGGGAGGACTTGGACCCCTCTCAATAGGGTTGAGGTAGGAGGACAGGAGAAAAATGGGTCAAGACACAACCTGCAATGCCGCTTGGAAGACAAAAGGACAAGGAAAGTCGCCATATTGAAGCAGGGAAGAAAAAAATTCCTTTTAAAGACACAAATTTTAGAAAGGTAGCATTCAATTGCACTAAATGGCTTTTAAAATTATATTCCTGGATTCCACATTTCCCAACCTTTCCACCCCTCTATTTAACTGTATCCCCCCGCCAAAAGAATCAAGTTAAAATGTTAATCATTTTTGCTCTTAAATAACCTACGCAATCTGCAACAATTACAAGACATTCTTTACGTCCGCATTATCTGGTATGTACTAACACTAAGATTATATTTTGCCCTAAATTAAGTGTCTTGCAATCTTTATTCTTAGATTGCCATCTATTTTAACCATACAAATATATCCCAAGCAAATTACATTAAAATTGAGAGGATTTAACAATCATTTCAAGTCATATCCAGCTATTCTTTCTCTCTGCCCATCTCCTTACCCTGCAATCTTTATGTACAGATTGCTTATTAACCTGGCAAATTGAAAAGCGCCCTGCTTGTCTCACACACAAAAAAGTGGGACTTCAGCGCCACAAGATTCCACTATCTTTTGTATGTGAGCTCATTAACCCTTTTTAAGACTGCTGCTAACCGGAGGACGGTAACCATTCCTCCTTATAAAAAGTAAATATTTATGGCTTTGGCAGTCTGGAAATTGGCTGGATTACCAAGGGTTAACCATCAAAATCCTCACTTGCTGGCCCTCCCTCCACCCTCTCCTGGCCTGCAGCAGGGCAGGGAAGAGGTAGGTGGCAGGGGAGAGAGAACAAGACTGTTTAGAACCAAAAGGCCCTTTTTAATGGAGATTAAGAGACCGGATTGGTCCTTCTCCAGTTCTCTATTTGTTCTATGGTCTCATTTCTTCCTCTCATTATTTCTGGTTTCACAACGGGAAACGTTGACTTCTTGTTGCAAGGCTGGTTTTTGAAAATTCGACACTTACTATCCAATTTTTTTGCGACGTCAGCACCTCGGGCTCAGGGGGGAGGGGGTCAAATTTTGGAGAAAAAAATAAAACCACCAACCAGGACCCAAAACTCAATTATTTGGGGGGCCTCATTGGATTAAAAAGTCTCTTAAAAAATGAAGGCCAACTCAGTATTCATTTGCCCCCCACCCAACTCCATTTAAGGGAGGGGGGTTCGTAGAAAAAAATTCTGAGTGGATTCAAAAAAGTAAACGATGGTGAGTGAATTTGGGTGGGTTTGGGAAGGGAGGGTGGTTGATTGTTTTTGAAGTTATGTGGTGACGGTCCTTCGGCCACAGATTTCAAGTCCCAGGCAGCGTGGGCTGGTGGGGTGGGCAAGATAGGTGGGAAGGGGCAGAAGACACAAGTGGTTGGGCTGGTGGCTGCTGTTTTCCCTTTCCCCCCTCTCTCAGGATCCTTTCAAGGGCTTAGATGTTGCTGCGGCTTGTTTGTTTTCCTCGTGGCCGGCCTGTCTTTCTCCGAGAAAATTCAAACCTGGGATAAAAGAACAGAAGGGAGAAAGCTGTAATCAGTATGGGCTGCCTTTAAAACACCACAAAACACCATGTTTGTTGTCCCAAAAGACACCTCCACGTCCCATGCCAAATACAGCCGCTTTTTATAAGTCGTGGCTCTCAATTTAACCCACTCTTATCCCGAGTCCCAAGCCACTGCGCTCGGCAGTTTTACCCTCTAAACGACAAAACACCAAAACTTACCTCTAAACGAACCCCAGAATGGCGGCTGCCGGCTCGGGCAGAGTCTTTTATACCCGGTCGCCGCCCAACGCGCCCAAACGTGCTAGTGAAACCCCCTTGTCGCGAGACATTGTGCACGAAGCGTGAACTCATTGGTCAACCCGAAAGACAACTCGCCAGCTGATTGGTCATTTTTCCTTCGCCTTCGCTCAACCCTTTCCCCGGGCACTCTCTTCCGCCTCCTTCCTGACCCCCGTTGCGTGCGCGTGACCAGAGAACCTAGCACCTCCCCTTCCCCTGCTTCCCCACTTCCGCCCTCGAGAACAGTTCTTACCCAGGGTTGGTAGAAACGTATCGGCGCATGCGCACTGAGAGAATCCCAAACAAAATCTGCTTCAAAATTGTTTAAGAAGTAAAGCCTAAGTATAGAATCTAAGAGTCATAGTGACTGGTCCCGAAAAACACAATTGTGAGGCCTTACTCTATTGTGACGCAGTTGAAATTAGCTTCTTCCCCCACGGCCCCATCCCTTTCACGCTTCCGTCCTGACGCAAACACGCGGCCGCCTCCGTACTGCGGGCTCGTCCACGGCCCTAATCTAGTCAATTTCCTGGGGCATGCGCAGTTGTCTTTTCGGTCATTCCTACGCTGGTTATTCATCAAGATGGCGGCCTCCGTATTGAACACGCCGCTGAGGCGGCTTCCTATCCTTTTGCCCTTCAGAAGTGCCTACGGAGTTCAGGTAACTCCTCGGAGAACATTTTGTACAATCCCAACTTAGTTAAACTTTAGGTCTCCGCTGCACTGCCAGGAATCCACGAGCAGAGATCTTACCAAGGGCTTATGTCTCGGCTGTCTAGGCAACACTTTTCTTCCTGCACCCCAGCCCACCCCCAAATACTGTGCACATTTTCTAATCCCGAGCCGAGAGCTAAGAGCCAGGGTTAGGTGTCATCCCCTTACCAACGTACTATCTCGGCAAAATAATTAGGTGATGGAATTGACTCTTTGGTCATGCACAACTACCTCTTAACTATTCAGATGGTGTCTAAATCTGTGACGCCCCAGAGTGTTCTTGCATTGAGAGATCCTGCTTTCTAGCAGCCCTGCTATCTCCCAGTAAAGCTGGGATACAGTCTCACGATCTGGGGGGCAGTTTTTTCAGCTCTCTTTATCCTACTAAATCAGTTTCTTATCAGAGCATACGTGAGACCTTAAGCCTGTCGTTTGGATTGAGCTTTCCCTCCAGCCTCACGTACTCACCACCCTGGAGGTTCTTGATAGGGCAGGGCAGGTTCTTGGTGAGACGGTGAGATAGGAGGGCTTGCCCCAGCTACCACTCCCCAAAGTGGGACTGAAGAGTGGTGACAGAGGTCACCGCAGAGTTAATAATAGGCCTGATAGCTTTAAACTAGCGTTAGGACTCAAGTTTGTTCTGACCTATGGAATGTTGACCTTCAGCTTTTTATTTTTTTTATTATTATTTTTTTTTTAAAGATGACCGGTAAGGGGATCTTAACCCTTGACTTGGTGGTGTCAGCACCACGCTCAGCCAGTGAGCGAACCGGCCATCCCCATGTGGGATCCGAACCCGGGGCTTTGGTGTTATCAGCACCGCACTCTCCCGAGTGAGCCACGGGCCGGCCCTGACCTTCAGCTTTTTATAAAACCGGGCAACTCAGTGACTCGGGATTGGATTGAGTTGGAGACTCACTTGTCCTCTGTGTCCCCTCACCACCACACATCTTACTTCCAAGAGGGCTAGACATCCTCCCTTTTTCTTTCTTCTTCACCAGGTTCAGTTTATTACCAAAAGCAAGAATACCTTTTATGTGCCAGGTTTTTAAGATTGTGTTCTCGAATAAGATTGCTTACCAGTCACCTATCCTAGTTATCCCCTAACATTAGTTTGTTTTTCAGGATGCAGTTAGAGATAAGGAGAGTGATTTATATTGTTGATTATGTCAGTTTAAACCCAACAAAAATAATGCCTTCCATATATATTCCTGCTGTACCAATGGGTATGCATTCTCCGTCTCCCTAAAATGTGATAAGCAAAACAAGCGAGTCCTTTCCTTGAACTCATTATCTCATTTTTTCCCCCTTCCTTTATAGGTTCCCCTCCAGACTCTCTGCACCAAAGCCCCCACTGAGAAAGATTCTTTGCCCCCGGTTCCCATTTCCCCTTATGAGAATGAACCTTGGAAATATCTGGACTCAGAAGGTACCTCTAAAAAATAATAATTAAAAAAAAAGAAAAAACAACACGAAGGTACCTCTAAATGGAGAAGGGGAAGGTGAGGTGCAGTCTGAGATAAGTGGAAAGATACAACCCCCACACCGCTGCCTGGCAATAACTTGTGTGGTCTTTCATTGCAGAATACCAGAACCGCTATGGTTCTCGCCCTGTGTGGGCTGATTACCGCCGCAACCACAAAGGTGGTGTACCCCCACAACAGACTCGGAAGACATGTATTGTGAGTTTCTGAGGGTGGCACATGGGTGGGATGTGGGGGTAGAGTAGTGACAGTAGCAGCAGCATTTTTCTGACAAGGCTTTGAACATCTTCAACTGCCAGTTTCTTCTCTCTACAGCGTAAGAACAAAGTTGCTGGGAATCCCTGCCCCATCTGCCGGGATCACAAGTTGCATGTCGACTTTAGGGTAAGGAGAATTTTTTTCTCCAAAATAAGGATTTGGAACCTCTTTGCAGTGCTAAAGAGGTTACCGTAGGTGCCCCACACTTCATATCCTGGCACCCCTACTGTCAGTTTTGTAGTGACTGTTTCTGGCATCATAAAAACATCCCTTCCTCTAGCCTTTCACCCTCTACTATGAGTTGTACTAAGAAGCTTTATCCCATACATAAGAAAGTTATAGTGTAAAGTGATAGGCAAGAGAAATGCCTATTTCTAACGAGAGAGCAGTGCCCAAAGGTTCATTTATATCCATCAAAATTATTAGCAAGTATACTGGCCTACTTTATTCTGAGGTTTTCTTTATTTTGTTGTGGTATTGATGTTTGGTTGCATGCGGGGACCTGGGGCTGGAAGGCAGATAAATGAAAAAAGGTAGAGTCTAGTATACTGTTCTTTCCAAAAGTCTTCAACATTGTGAAAAGGGCAGGACTTCTTAAAGAATTTGAAAACATAAAAATGATAATAGGAAAGTGCTCTTCTGAGCTTGAAGTGAAGGTTTTAAAGCAGAAGCTGTATCTTCTGGTCATCAGGGAAGTTAGAAGGCATTGTGTATCAGTTAGCAGATGGGGGTGTCTGACTGCTCTAAAGACCTTTCTGACACAGATTATAGGGAAGTCCCATAGATAACTTTCTGGTTTCAACTGTAAATGACTGGATATGAAAAGAGGCTATGACCAATTATATAAGCAAGGGTGAGAGAAAGATTACAAATTGAATAGCGTAGATGCTTCTGCCTGTCACTTGACTCCACAGATGTACCTGCTTTTTCCTCAAGAGTCTCAGTTCCTATGATTAATGTACTGGCTGAGAGTCACTCTATGTAATTAAAACTGTAAAATTATTCTTAGTACATATGTTATTTAGCATTATATTAATACATTTATTGTTTATATATGCACATTACAGTGTCATTTTCTGGATAATTTCTGGCATTTCCAATGACCATCCTCAATTTTTTGCATGAATTTGACTTTAGGACTTAACCCCTGCAGGAAATACTTCTGTGTGAGTCACAGTAACAGAATATAGGATGTGCCTGTGAAATGGTTGAAAGGCCAGGAAAAGTTGGCTGGAGTTTTCAAGAATGAGTTCAGTGAATTAATTAGACTAACATGGGGCCATGAAGATGGTTAGCAGCCAGAGAGATGTAAAAGGGGTGGAGGTCATGTGTGTAGTTGTGTAGAGATTGTTTGCTTTCATTCCCCAAAGGTCTTGCTGCTCTCCTCACCCTGTTTCCTCACGTTTCTCTTCTGCTCTCCCCCACAGAACGTGAAGCTCTTGGAACAGTTTGTCTGTGCCCACACGGGTATCATCTTCCATGCTCCCTACACAGGTTAGCCCATCATCCCTGTCACCACCAAAATAACTTTTCCTAGGGGCACTTCTTGTTTATGTAGTTGACAATAGGTATTTGTTCGGTGGCTCCTATTTATGGCATAAAAAGTGTGATTGAACCTTTCGAAAATCTTAGCTTAATGGGGATACCCACTTGTTAAAACAATTACTTGTGGACAAAAGATACAGGCAAGTACTTTGGTAAGCAAACTATCTAAATGTAGTTCTTAGAAGATTATATTTCCCAATTTGGAATTGTAAGATTAACAATACAGGAGTATATTGCTTAACTATAGCCACAAGCCCCATCTGGCCCATTGCTGTGTCCATTTGTTTTCATATAGTCTGCAACTGCTTCCAGGCTACAGTGGCAAGAGTTAAGTAGCTGAGATGGAGACCACAGGACCTGCAGAGTCTAAAATATTTACTATATGGCTCTATACAGAAAAATTTTGCCAACCCCTACTCTAAAACAAGATAAATTTGCAAAGAGTTATCTGAATCCACCATTATTGGGATGTCAAAGAGTTTTTTATAGTCAAGCTGTAAAAGGCTGTAGGGAATATTATTGTTACTCTCTCAGATTGCCTTCCCCAAATCTGAAATCACTTCTTCTGTGGATTGTCCAACTCAGCCCTTTAATTAACCACACTTGCCCTTTGAATTGTGTTCTGCACCCTTTTGGAGCCTTTACCATTAAACAGCTTCTCTATAGTGACTAGACTCTCCTAAACCTTCATCCATTGGGCGGATTGGCAAACTGAAGCCCATGGAGGGGTCAGGGGAGTGGGGTTATCAGGTACAGCCAGGTCTTCCAAATCCAGCTCTCTGTCACTATATAGAAACAGTTGTGTTATTTACTGTGCCTTATAGAACAAGCACCAAGTTAACATTTTTCTTCTGACAGGGGTCTGTAGGAAGCAGCACAAGAAGTTGACCCAGGCCATACAGAAAGCCAGGGATCATGGTGAGCATGAGAAGGGGCACAAGGCAATTTTGTTAGGCATAGAGAAGATGACCTGGGGCTGGAGGGTGGATGTAAATGCTCTTGCTTATCTGAGAAAGTGGTACCAACATGTTCTTCCCAAGAATCTTTTTTTTCCCTCCATTGTCCCTTGTCCCATCTCCTGAATCTCTTACCTTGTTATTGCCCTGTTCCCCTTAGTTCCCATTCTATTTATTTCATTTTTTTGGTGGCTGGCCAGTACGGGGATCTGAACCCTTGACCTTGGTGTTACTACACCCCGCTCTGATCAACTGAGCTAAGCAGCCAGCCCTGCCCTGTCCCCTTGTTCATTGTCATTCCTGTCCCTTGCCTCTGACTTTACAATGACTGGTCCCAAGGCCATAGCAAGAAAATAGGAGGATCTTTGTATAAGTTTCTGGCCCTGGGCTACATGACATCCTCACACAAGTTAGTAAAAGTTACTCCTCTGCTAGGGCAGATGCAACTTCACTGCCTTGGTGTAGGGCAGGTCAGCTTCACAGGCAAGAGCCCCAGCAATATGTCAGCCCACACTTGTCCCCTTGGCCTCTGTGCGGTATACAACATGCATAAATGTACCCAGTGGCTCTGCCCAGTCCCTCCCATTATAGTTCCTTTTTTGAATTGTCTGTCTTAATCTGAACTAATACTTGCTCCCCTCCTTCACTTTCTCTCTTTTTTTAATCCCTTAGGTCTCCTCAGTTACCACATTCCCCAGGTTGAACCTCGGGACATGGATTTCAGTACCTCTCATGGAGCTGTGAGTGCTACTCCACCAGCCCCCACCCTGGTTTCAGGCGACCCCTGGTACCCATGGTACAACTGGAAACAGCCACCAGAGAAAGAACTGTCACGCCTTCGCCGGCTCTATCAGGGCCATCTCCAGGAAGAGACTGGCCCCCCACCTGAGTCCATGCCCAAGGCGCCCCCCACAACACCAGCTGAAGCCTCCTCCACTGAGCAGACAGCCCCCTAGGGTGCTTTTTAGGAGCTGTGGACTAGGAAGGGAGCTTGAGGGGATTAGGAAATAATGCTTAGGATTATGTGATGGGGTGTTACCAGGAAGAGTTGTGTCTAATTTGTGACTGGCAAACTCAGGAAAGAAATGATTGTTCGTGAAGGGGATAAATACACCTGAGACTGAGGGAGGGTAGTACAGATGTGTATGGGAAACCCCAACCCCTATGCATTATAAAAAGATGGCTAAATGTTTTGTTGCTGTTTCAGATGTCTGCCAACTCACCTTTTCCACAATAAAGCTGTATCTTCTATCTCTGGCTTGCTTTGGCTGAGTTTCAGATGAATGCCATTGTGGGGGGTGGGGCACGGATAGCTGAGTGATGTTTGCTCTTTACACATAAGAAGTGGGGTGCTACTGTGGGAAGAGGAGTGGTCGGGCTAAAGCCAGCCCAGCCAGTGATTCCTGGGACCTGAAGCGCTTGAGATGGGCAGTAGTGCCATCCTGTTGTGATAGCCTTTGTGGCCCCCTCCTGCGCCCGAAACATAGTGTTCACACCATCCCCAGCTGTTCACCGAGGCTTGCAGAGTGAGACACTAGGCTGAGGAAAAATGTGTTGCCGTGGGTGGCAGGGGCGGGGGAGTGGCGTTGCTATGGGGACAGCTGGTTTGGCGAAGAGATCTTGGTCCTGGACATTGGTGGGCGGAGGAGAGGACAGGACACGTGGGGCGGATCCTGGAAATAAAGACTCTGAAGGGCGGGGCGGAGGGGGAGGGGCGGAAGTGACGTCGGGCGGGGCGGGTCCGGCCGCGCACAATGGGCCATGGAGTTCCCGTTCGATGTGGATGCGCTGCTCCCGGAGCGGATCACGGTGCTGGACCAGCACCTGCGGCCCCCGGCCCGCCGACCCGGAACCACAACGCCTGCCCGGTGACATCTCAAACCCGCCCCATGGCCTTTCTCTCACGGTTCCTAAACCTGGTCCAGGCACCACGCCCACTTCTCACTGACAAGTTCTTTTGATGTCCTGGCCCGCCCTTTTGGTGACCTCTGACACTAGACCTAGTAGGGTTGATCAGCACTTGGATCTGTGACCTTTCACCCTTGGCCCAATATGTGGCCACAACTAAAGGATGTGTTTGACCCACCCTTCCTGCTTCCCCACAGTAACCTTAAGGGAGGAGGGAGTGTACCACGTTGAGGTGTGACAAAAGTTTAGGTTCCAGAGGGGTGGGGTGGGAAATCAGACTGGAAGACTCCCAGACAAAGGCAGAGATCCTTAAGTGTTGAACCTGGGTTGGAGTTGTGGCCCAGGACCCTCTAATTCAGTGAGTACCTGACTCTGTATCTCCTTTCTTTCTATAGTGTTGATCTGCAGCAGCAAATTATGACCATTGTAGATGAACTGGGCAAGGCTTCTGCCAAGGTACTGGGGAGTCTTTAGTAGATGGAGTAAAGGGGGGACCTCTTGGGGATATAGATAAGCAAGGCCTAGGTCCTTCGGAAGGGACTTACAGAAAGTCTGTCTTCATCTTTCTCTCAGGCCCAGAATCTTCCTGCTCCCATCACCAGTGCATCGAGGATGCAGAGTAACCGCCATGTTATATATGTGCTCAAAGACATTTCAGCCCGACCGTGAGTGTCAAATGCTCTTCCATCCCATACTTAATGCCTTCCTCTTTCAGTCCTTCCCCCTTCTTTGGCTCTACCTTTTCCAGATAGCTGCCACTAGCTTGTTCATCATTTTCCCCATCCTACAGGGCTGGAAAAGGAGCCATTATTGGTTTCCTCAAAGTTGGATACAAGAAGCTCTTTGTACTGGTGAGTGTTATTGGAAGCTGGGAGTTTGTATGCCTTGGTTCCTGAGGAAAAAAGTGCTGGAGGTTGGGAGGCAGCAAAGATGCCTGGGTCCTAAAAGATTTTTATTTTTTTTTACATATTAGGATGATCGTGAGGCTCATAATGAGGTAGAACCACTTTGCATCCTGGATTTTTACATCCATGAGTCGCTGCAACGCCATGGCCATGGGCGAGAACTCTTCCAGTATATGTTGCAGGTATCACTTATCTCTTCCCAGATCCATCCAAAACAGAGATCAATGCGTTGCCTCCACCCTCTGACACCCTGTGTTCCCATATTCCCTACCTTGGCTCCTGGGTTCCTCTTGACATGCTCTCCCCATCACTCCTCCTACCCTGAATCTCCTCTCCTATTCCCTGCAGAAGGAGCGAGTTGAACCACACCAACTGGCTATTGACCGACCTTCACAGAAGCTGCTGAAATTCCTGAATAAACACTACAACCTGGAGACCACAGTCCCACAGGTTAGAGATTTCAGAGGGTAGATCCCCATTGAGCGTTGCCACTGAATTTATTATTTGGTTTTTTTTTGTTTTGGCAGCAGGCCAATACAGGGATCAAACCCTGGACCTTGGTGTTATCAGCACCACACTCTAACCAACTGAGCTAACCAGGCAGTCCTTTTTATTATTTGGGGCAAAGAAGTGGTGCCTTCCAAGAGCTCCTTATTCCCTATCAAATAGGATTTATTTATTTATTTATTTATTGGTGGCTGGGGTAAAGGGATCTGAACCCTTGACCTTGGTGTTACACCGCACTCTAACTGAGCTAACCAGCCAGCCTAGGATTCATTTTATACAGCTATGCTCTTTCTTTCTCTTGTGGTTCCATCTCTCATCCTGCAGCCATTTCACTCTCATCTATTTTGATTCTTTATCATGGTTTGTTTCCTACACCTAATTTTCAGCCCAGACACATTTTCACCTTGTTTCACATAGGCCGTTATTCGTTTAGTCAGTCAACATTTATTAAAGTCCTAGAATAATGTACATTCCCTTTCCTCAGGGAGCTTCAGTCTAATATGGGGAAGGCGGTCTTGTTTGTAAGTAAGTGCAGTAAAATATTACTTATGCTATCCATTAATTCAGCAAATATTTATAGAGCACTTGACACTGTTCTGGGTACTAGGAATAAGTTACTGAATTAAATAGACAAAGTCCCTGTCCTTGTGGAACTTATCATTCTAATTGAGGAGACAGACAAACACAATAAGCAAGTAAAGTATACTGTGGTTAGTGCTAAATGGTCTGGAAAAATGGGAGCAAGTAAGAGGGCTTGGGAGTGCCAAGATGGGGATGGGAGTGCATGGGATTGCAGGTTTAAATGGGATAATCAGGGAAGTCCTCACTGAGAAAGTATCATTTGAGTAATAATGTAAATGAAGAGAGAATAACAGCCACGTCATATCTGGAGGAGTGCATCCCAGTCAGAGGGAACAGCCAGCGCAAAGGCCATGAGGTGGGAGCATACCAGGAAAAGCAGATTGGCTAACGTGGTTGGAGGGGCGTGGCGGGAGGGGGGGGATGAGATCAGAGAGGTAGTGATCAGGGTCTTACAGGCTACTGCAAAGACTTTGGCTTTTATTGTAAGTGGAAAACAAGATCACTTTGGCTATTGTGTTAAGAACAGGCAGTAGGGGAGCAAGGGCAGATACAAGGTAAACTAGATAGGAAGCAACAATCCTGATGAAAAATGGTTGTGGCTCAGAACAAGGTGGCTGCAGTAGAGATGGTTAGGAGTGGCAAAATTTTAAATATTTTGAAGGTAAAGCAAATAAGATTTCTTGATAGGTTGTTTGTGGAGAATGAGGAGTTAAAGATGATCCCAAAGCCTGAGCAGTTGGAAGGAGGAAGTTGCATTAACTGAGATGGTAGAACAGCCTGGGAAGGAAATATTAGGAGGCTATTCTTAATATGTTAATGGGAGATGTCTGTGATGTGTCCAGGGTGAATAGACAGTTGGGTGCTTCCCTGGAGATCAAGAGGAGGTTTGGGTCAAGAGTATTCAGCATACATACCGTGTTTAAAACAATGAGACAGAATGAAATCACCAAAGAAAGAGTATAGATAGAGAAGTGATCCAAGGACTTGAGCTTTTGGGCACTCTTTAAGAAGTTAGGGAAAAGAGGAAGAACCAGCAAATGCAACCAAAGTATGACTAGTGAAGTCAGTGAAAACTTAAAAGTGACATAACCTGGAAGGCCACTGAAGAAAATGTTTCTGGGAGGAGTGGTTCACTGTTTCAAATGCTGATCACTGAGGTTAGAAGAGGTCTGGGAAGTGACTGTTGGCTTTAGCTGCCTTAGCCCACTTGTGATATTTTTTTAAAAATTTTTTTATCATTATTAGCATACTCATCATTACAGATCATAATCTTTCCCCATGCCCTCCACCCAACCCATCATTCCCCACACTGGTGATCTTGATGAGCCATTTTGGTACAGTGCTGGGTGGGAGTCTTGATGGAGCAGGTTTAGGAGATTGAGGAGCTACAAACTGGAGACAGCAAGAAGAAGCCACTCATAAATGCTGCTTTAAGTGGAACAGAAATAAAGCAAGAGCTAGAAGGAAAAGTGGATCAAGAAAGGGTTGATTCTTTTCAGGTGGAAGAACTAACAGTGTAAGAATGATTCTGTAGAGAGGAAATTTAATGATGTCAGAGAAAGTGGGGAGAATGGCTGAAGAGATGTTGAGTGAGCAAGAGGGTTTGGGATTTGAATGACAAGTTAGCCTTGGATAGGAGCATGGACAGTGTAACGTGATTTGATAGACATGATTACAGAGGAAGCATAAAGACATGGTGGTGAGTGCTACCTTGCAGTGGAGGTTAGGTAAAGAAAGGCTTGACTTATGTTTAATCTTAAAAGATGAAGGGCCAGTCAGTTATCTCAGTTGGTTAGAGCATGGTGCTGATAACACCAAGGTTCAGGGTTCAATTCCTGTACTGGCCAGCTGCCAAAAAGGAAAAACATAAAATAAAAGGCAAGTGTTTGTCAGGTAGACAAAATCCCATTCTGTGGATTGTCCTTTCACTTTCTTGATAGTGTGTTTGAAGCACAAAATTTTAAATTTTGATGAAGTCCAGTTTTTCTTTCTCTTTTATTGTTTGTGCTTTTGGTGTTATATTTATAAATTGTTATCAAATCCATGTTTATGAAGATTTTTACCAATATTTCCTTCTAAGCGTTTCATAGGTCTTTGATCCATTTTGAGTTACTTTTTGTCTATGGTGTGAGGTAGAAGCCCAAATTAAAAATCTTGCATGTGGATATTCAATTGTCCAAGCATCAAGAGACTGTTCTTTCTCTATTGAATGGTCTTGGCAACCTTGTTGAAAATCTATTTACCTTAGATATATGGGTTTATTTCTGGACTCTCAGTTCCATTCCATTGATTGATATAATTCCTTATGCCACTACCACACTGTTTTGATTACCATAGCTTTGTAGTAAG